GGACGGCAGGGGGCCAGGTTACCGGGAAAACGTGCGTCGCCCGCCGACAACGCCCCGATAGGACCACCACCGGCCGATTTTCGCCGTCCGGCATGCGACTTTCAGCGCCACAGCGACGACGGACTGGACCGCCACCGCAAGGCAAGGCAAGCCGCAGGCATCGACCGGACATCGCGGAAACTATCCAAAATGATGTTTGCAAAGGGACATGCCGCATCCACCCCGCTGCCAGGCCATGCAGGTGCCTGGAAAAAATCATGGAGCGAACGCTTGGGAGGTGAAGAATCTGTGCCTCGCAAAAATATTGGCGCAGTCGCTCCTCAAGGTGGAAAGACCCCGCCACCAAAACCGCCTCTGCGCGACAAGAAGAAACGGGGCTCCTCGCAGATACCGCATAACGCCAACGCTCCTGGCAGGTAGCTTTTCTCCTCTTTTTGTTATTTATAGATTGTTTTAGTGATTTATTGATTTGTCGTTTTACCGATTCTTGGAAACAATGGATCATCGAGCCACCACGCCAGCCCGGGGCGGATGTGTAAAAGCTGTTTATTTCACGCTCTTCGCTGCAGCGCCCTCACCGAGCCTGGCTCTCCTTCACACCTTTACTCAGCAGGGCCAAAGTGCTCCACGGTGGTGAATGGCGTGTGGATCATTGGATTTATTCCGGAGCACACGAGGAGGAAAACAAAAAAGGTTTCCCATACAAGGTTCACCGTGGCGAAAAACAATGCATGTCTGATTTGTGCTCTAGAACGACCCGAACGCTGAAAAGAGTTCCAAAATAATCTCATTGACGTCATCAGGTCCACCACAACTCCTCCATGCTTCTGCAACGCAGTGGAAAGGACGATCCGCAGTGTCATTTTCCTTCTTTAGGGCAAAAAAAAAAAAAGACATGTTGTCGCTCCGATGCCCTCTCATTCAAAACCTTCTGCCATTGCTTTTGGATCGGGACTGCGCCCACCACGTTGTTGAGATTCGTTCCTGCCACGAGGCTGCACTTGGACCATTTTCTCCTTTCCTTTCCTCACGTAAACCGTAAGTTGCGTTGGAAAATAATTGCATCCTCGCAGCAATGAAGACACAAAATAGCGAGTAAGCTGCTCAGAGAGCAACATCCCCCACAGGCGACTGCCACCAAACACGGCAAATGGATAAACAGAAAACACAAGCACACACAATTCCATACAACATACATATACATGTATACACACGCACACTGACCTACTCATGTATCATTTACACTCCCATAAATGTATGTTATTATACCGTTTCTTTTTTCTTATTTTTTCCGTTGTGGGTTTGCAGGTGTTCTTGTTACAATCTTTATTTTTTTTTTTTTTTTTTTTTGTTCTCTTCTCCTTCTTTCCCACCTCCAATTCGTTTCGGTTTCATCCACCAAACACCGGCAGAATCAAAAGGAAGTAAAAGAAGAAAGAAGAGCCTCAAAACGCTGGGAACACTGCCCGCCGTGTATTACATGACAACCTCCGGCTCATGATAGCTCTGCACTATCGACTTGTTTGGAAGGACCTTTATTCCATTAAGAAACAATTCGTCCTTCACCTCCACGTCCTCCCCCAAAACGGCATTGTTTACTACACGGCACCAGGAGCCAACCCTCGACTTCCAGCCAATAATGCTGGAGTCAACCAACGTCCCCTTACCGATGGTGCTTTCGTCGAGAATCGCGGAGTGTCGGATACGTGAGGTGGGACCGATAACACAGCCCGGCCCAATGGTTGCAAATGGCCCAATAACGCATCCTTTTCCAATTTTGGCGCTGGGGTCAATGATAACGGAACCAATGACGGTAAAATCATCAGTCTTATGCGCCTGACCAAGCCCGTAGACTTCTTGTGACTCCTTCGGGGTCCCGTTGAGTGACCGGAGGTATTTTCCGACGCCCTCAATGTAATCCTTAGGAACGCCAATGTCCATCCAGAAACCCTCAAGAATAAACGCACAGAGCTGCTTGGCGCTTGCCATCTGTGGAAAAACCTGCGTTTCAATAGACGTCTTCTCCAATTTAATTCGGTTAAGGACACTCTTGTTGAACACATAAATACCGGCGTTGATGCGGTCTCCCACAAAATTCTTTGGCTTCTCCACGAATTGATCAATAACTCCTGTTGCTTCATCAAAAACAACAACGCCGTACTTCTGCCAATCTGTCACCTTCGTCACGGCAATGGTGCCCTCCTTCCCACTCTTCTGGTGAAATGAAAGAAGTTCTCGCAGGGGAAATCGGCATGTGATATCAGCGTTCAAAACAAAAAAAGGCTGATCATCCTGTAAAAGAATATCACGCGCCAGAGCCAGTGGCCCCGCCGTTCCAAGGGGTTCCTCCTCCAGAGAAAAGACAAAAGAGACGCCAAGCTCCTTTGACCAATATTCCATGTTTTTTCTCATCGCATCGGAGCGATACGCAACGGCAAGAATCACTTCCGTCACCCCCGCGTCTCGCAGTGCCTCTACTTGGTGTACGATTATTGGCTTGTTGCAAAACGGCACCAAAGGCTTTGGCATCGTTAGGGTGAGGGGACGCAGACGAGTCCCGTAACCCCCAACTAAAATGACAGCCCGCATCCCCTTGCTATTCGCACCAGATTTTTTCTCCTCGGACATTCCTTCTTGTTCCTTTTCTTTTATTTTTCCTTTTTTCTCGTTTTACCGCTGTTTGCTGCTCCCGATGCATGAGTGGGACGCCAATACAAGCAGCAACAATGGAAGGTTGCACACACACAAAACAACAACAACAACAAGTCAAAAAAAGAAAAGCGGTTTCGTTGTAAGCGCTTCCCCCCCCCACCTCGCCACACAAACAATAAGGGATAGTTAAAAAGAGGGGCTGTGCAAAAACCTCCAATTCCCCCTCCAAAAATAATAATAATAATAATAATAATGATTATTTGGATTCTTTTCTGTATGTATGCAAGTGTGTGTGCAATTTTTTTTGGGGGGAAAGGAGACCCTCCTGCTGCTCAGATTCTTATTTGCCGGCGCCCTCAATGACGGTTTCGCTCTCGTGGACCCGATCCTCTTCCTCCACGATAGCCACGCCCTCCGCCTTTCCCACGGTTGCTACCGTAGCCTCCTCCCTGGTCTGCTGTCACTGGTTGTCTATTGGGCGCACCACCTGCTATGGCAGAATGCACACGAAGCGGTTGGAAACGCGGAGCCGCCTCTAGACCCAGACTGGTCTGGTAGGGAACATCAGTTCGGTTCCTCTTGGAAAGAAATTCTTTCTTTAACTGCAGCACCTCTCCGCCAAGCGGCACGACACAGTCTTCCGTCATGATGATGGCCCCATTTTTAATTTGTGTCCCCTCTTTAACAAGGAGCTTCTCCCCTGGAACAGGTATACCACGAAACACGCGAAGGGTAGTGAGCTCAATTGCCGGTATCTCCGAGTGTCCATCAGAGAGGACAAGACGCAGAAGACGTGTGTTCGTCGTTTTCTGAAACGCAGCCGCAAATATCATTTCTTCCTCGCATGAATCGGCGCATGGCCGAAGGGGTTGCGTAGCATCCCTTGAGCTGTTAACTTGAAGTACAACCGGGATTGTAAGCGTGCTGCTTACCTGGGAAGCTATACCGTGCGGAAGCGTCCCTACATCTGTGATGTCCTTAAAATTTTCGTTGAGAGCCCGGTGGTAGATGTACTCCGCCGTGACAGTTCCATCTGCGGCAGAGAGACGCTCCACAAACCGGGTAGACACGGCGATATGATAGCGCGCTCTGACTTCTGTAGACAGGGTTGACATCCCAACAAACTAGCAGACTGAACAATAAAATGTTAAGAAAGACGTGTGCCACAAAACGCACGACAGAGACAAACAAAGAAACACACGCAAAATAATAATAATAATATTCAAAAAATACACGCATACACAAACCAAGCAACCAACTCACATGTGGGAAGATAGTCATATAAACACAATAAATGTACCGCTTCAATCCACGTCTTTTTTGTTTTTGTTATTACTTTTGTTTGTTTGTTTGTTTGTTTATTTCTTGTTATTGTCATTTTCTTTTATTTATTTATTTTTTCTTCTTCTTCGGGGATTCTCTTCCTACTTGTTGTTTCTTCACTCCTTTGCCTTCACTAAGGAACATTCGCGTCGTCCTTCTTCTCTGCGTTACATACACACACACACACACACACACACACATATATACAAAACAAGGTGAGAGGTATCAAAAATAATAATAAAACAGGAAACCGAAAAAAAAAAAAAAAGCGAACAAATAATATTATTGCATTCGTGTTCCGTAATTCTCATGACGTCTGCGCCAGTTTGCTCTGCAGCATGGCGTTTTCCCGGGAGAGCTTCTTGTACTCCTCGTCAAACTCCGCCTTCATGTAGTCAACGTGGGACATGAGCGTTTCAAATTCCTTTTCCTTCCCTTTGACCTGAAGCTGGGCGGAGGTGGCGCGAGATGCAATGGCATTTTGAAGAACAAAAGTTTTACGTCCCAATTGTTCCACCTTTGCGTCATGGGCATTGAGCTGGTCATCGCGCTGGACCAATGTTTCCCGAGAGAGCTCAAGTTCACGGCAAAGTTCCTCAAACTGTTGCAACGGGACCTCCGTAGCGTCCTCTGGAATGTTTTCCAATGGCTCCTCCTCCTCCTCCACTTGGGCAAACACATGCTGAAGAAAGAGATTCACCGCCTCCAGTTTGGTCTCCAGTTGCCGGAGGCGTACCTCCAGGGAGAGAATGGATTTGGAGTTATTGACATTCGTTTCACGGAATTTGGATAGGGTGCCGTACAGTACCTTCTTGTCCCCCTCCAGCTGCTTGATTTTCTTGTAGTCGTCACTTTCCTTCGCGGTCGAAGCGTCCAAAAGACGCTCCTTCTTCTTAATGAGTCGCTCCATCGATTTCATCTCTTCAAGAAGCGCATCGTATTCCTTATTTGTTTCCACCAAACTCTGTTTTGCCGCGGCAAGCTGCTCTGCCTTTTGCCTTTGTTCCTCCATCTCTTTATTGATGGCCTCAATGCGCTCAGATAACAAAGCAGAGAGCGCCTTCATCGTATTTTGCTCTTCATGAAGGGCAGTCAGATTCTTCTTCCGCATGATCCATTCACTTTTAGTAGCTGGCCCACTGAGAAGAGCGTTTTCCCTCCCATCCCGCCCTGTGACCTGTCTTACCAACGCCAGGCGGCTGACGACATTTTCAATGCCCTTCTCCACGTCTTCCATCTGACGAGTTATGACGTTGGCGGAATCCTGTAATTCCGCCGTCCGTCTGTTCTCATTCTTGATTTCATCCTCCAGAGAAATGACCTGCGTCAATGACTCCAATGATATTTTAAGCCGTGTATTGTCATGTGCGTCATCCTTCTGCTGCTTCTTGCGTAGTGTTACTTCATTCACCATCCGGAGCTCCTTGAGAAGTGCCTGCTCCTCTTTGGCACGACGAAGCTCAGCCTCTTTCCGTGCCACCTGCAACTCTAGATTTCTTGCTTGGCTACGCCGCTGCTCCAACTGCGTCTGGAGGTCACACAAATCCTCCTGAACAGTAACGGCATTTGAATCGGCCATTTTTTTTATTTTTCCTTTTTTTTTTTCTCTCTTATTATGATTTTATTTAACCTCACTTCTGTAAATGGAACATGCAGACGCACACACAGAGAATGAAAAAAAAAAAAAAAAAGGGACCAGAAAGATCCAACGAAGCCAAGACAGTTGTGCTCAGGTAGGACACAAAACAATTTACATCTTCCACAGTGCGGCAAGAATACGGAGACTCGCGAAATCTTCCGTGGGATGACGTCAATGATCCGGGTACGGGTTTTCCGACACGGTTCCCTGCCGTTGTAGCATTTGAACCCTTGCCATTCCCTCCTCCTCAGTTTGTGTGGAGATGCTGTATGCCTTAAGAATCGCCTCCTTCAGCACCTTCGCCAATGCTATTTGCGTGAGGCCAACGCCGTCCTTTCGGTAAACGTCAAAATCAGGAAAGTACCCATGCACGTCCAAACCCACCACCTTGGGTCCCCGAATGCCATTCATTACATGCAGTAATTCTCGTGTGGATAGCCCTCCAGCAACGGAACATGTCACAGCTGGAGCAAAGGCGGGATCCATGACATTGGCATCGATACTGATAAAAACGGGGTAGTCATTTCGAATATCCCGAATGCAGAACAACCCCTTGGAATAGATAGCGTGCATGTCCATATAAAACATTTTGTGGTGTTTCCGTATCTTTCGATCCTCCGAGGTTACCAAACGATTGCCTACACTCACGATGCCCTTCAACAATCCCTTGTCCAAAAGAACCCGTAGCGGGGCCCGTGGATTTCCGACAAGTGGCTGGGCGGAGAAATGAATGACGACAACATCTTCAGATGGAAATAGCCGTTTGTACGCCTCTACCATGGGCAATGTAGCAGATCCATCTCCTCCAACGCTGGCCGGAATGTACCCTTTTTCCAATAATTCCGTCGTCGCCTCGAGAGCAGCCATGTACCAGTCGTCGCTGGTTGGAGTGGGATTCACAGATGCACGCTCCAGCATATGCCCGCACTTTAATACGGGCATAAACATCACAGTTTCAGGGGGGCATTCGATAGGACCGCTATCATGAAAACTAATTTCAGCGTAGTGGTCACAGTCAACGGGGGACTGAGTAAAGTAGTCAAAAAGCATCGAACTTTTCGACGCCCCCGCTTCGTAGCCAAATGCAGCGACAGGACCAAGTCGGTTGGCCCAATCACTTCCACGGGGAGCAACGGCCTTGACGCCCGTTAAAAACCTGGCAAACATCACCAACAACTATGAATCCACGTAGGTCTGATGTGTATAATGATTTATGCATGAGCGGTGCGCACCACGTCATTCAGACCACAAATGCATAAAAAACGCAACGCAACAACGACAAGAAAAAAAAAAAAAAAAAGAAACGACATAAAAATGAAACAGAAATAAATATAATAATTCTTATTTGTGGAGTTGTTGGATATTATTTCTGGCGCTCCTGTTCTTTTTTTTTTTTTTTTTTTTTTCGTCTTCCCTCTTCCTTTTCCTTCCGTAACGGACACACACACACACACACACACACAGAGAGAGAGAGACAGCCAAAAAAAAAAAAAAAAAAAAAAAAGCAAAAAACAACAAAAAAAAGAATCATCACCTGTGGGGTGTCCGTCTGTCCGTACGCGTGCCGCAACAAAACAAAAAGTTTGTCGCACGTCCTCGTTCGCCTTCATGCCGAAAAGAAGAAGAAGAGACAAAATCCATGCCGCCATCGGAGCTGTTTTCGACGTGAGATAAAGCGATGGAAATCAGTCTTCCACTCTGTGCGTGGTAATGGTGCCTCTTGAACTTTTCTTGTGTCTTTGCCTGACGTACCAAACGGTGCGCGGCGCCCTTTTCGCGTTGGCCTGCCTGCCATTTCAAAAAAGCCTCTCGACGGGCAACCCGACGCTCTTCTTGCTCTTTTATGAGTGCCAACATTTTCTCCTCCTCCCCGCACCGCTCATCATTCCACACAACATTGACTACGCTAAATGGGCCGGTGCAACTGGTGCGTTGTGCATGGCCTCCACTCAGCAATGCAGTGGAGTCTCCTATTTCCCGTGATTCTTTGGTGGGGGTTTCCATTCGCCGACTAGAACCCACACTTACAAACGGGATACGACATATAAGCGTGGAGCAAAGTAGACCACTTCCTCCACGCATCATGAGCACCAAAATAATAATAATAATAAAACACAGAAACTGAAAGAAAAAAAAAAAAGAAAAAAAGAAAGAAATAACCGGTGTTATTGTTGTTGTTCGTTTGTTATTATCAATTATTATTATTATTATTTCGGGTGCGTGTAATATATATATATATACTCCCCATGCTAGAAATAACAAGACGAGGAACAACTCACTCCTTCCATCCAATTAGACTTCATGTGCCATTCTTTTTTTTTTTTTAAGTTATGTTTTATTTGGACGGTGCAACTTGACTGCTGTCAAGAGGTTTATTTCTCCAGTTGCTCACGAAGTTGGGCAATTTTAGCTTTCTTTTCCTGAATACGCTTCTTGACTTCATCAGACTCTTCATTAGAGACACGGGGGCGCTTCTTAGCGGTGGCTTCGGCATTTGAGGCGGTTAATGTATCTTTCTTCACCTCGTCCTTTTGTTTGGTCGGCTGCTCCTTCGGTTCCGGCACCACAACCTCACCGCAGTCGGCAATAATGATCCGGCCACGTGTCTTCCCAGACTCGGAGCCCAACCGTTCAACCCTCCGCACGACATCAATACCCTCCGTGACTCGGCCAAAAACAACATGCTTGCCGTCCAGCCACGGCGTATTGGCAGTACAGATAAAAAATTGCGATCCATTGGTGTTCGGCCCAGCGTTCGCCATCGATAGACAGCCGACCCCAGTGTGTTTGCCAGCTTTGCCGGAAAAGCTCTCATCTCGGAAATTCATGCCGTAAATAGACTCTCCGCCCGTCCCATTTCCCCGCGTAATGTCACCGCCTTGAATCATAAATCCCGGTATAACACGATGGAACACGCATCCCTTGTAGTGGAGCGGCTTTCCACTTTTGCCTCGGCCCTTCTCGCCTGTGCAAAGGGCCCGAAAATTTTCGGCGGTCTTCGGCACCGTGTCTGCGTACAGTTCCATTTTTATCCTCCCGGATGGTTTGTTATCGATTGATATATCAGAGAAGACTTTTGGGTTGCGAGACACCTCGACCGGGATTCCCC